CCCCCTATTTTTTTTACATTGTCTTTAAGTTCAGGTACGGCCGCGAAGCACACTCTCCACGAGTTCCTCTTTGAATTTTCTCCAGTGTGCATCGCGTACCAATTGCTCGAGCAAATTAGAGCTCCGTCTCCCACCGGGTGGGCCGCGTGAACGTGATGCTAGTGACAAGTCCGTCTTGTACTTCCGCTTGTTCATTAAAGCAATGTCCTGTAAATTACGATGTAATTGCGAGCGGCTCTCAGCGGATAACCCCTGCATAATATCGGTAGCTGATAAGAACAGGAGCTCTGCTGTAGAGACCGAGACCAATGCTGCTTTTGCACACGATATCCCACGAATTTGCTGCCTTTCCTGTCGAGACTGACGTGGTGGGACCCAGGAAGATGATGCACAAAAGCATTCCCCTCGTCGTAAGGCCAGAGCCACAGGTTCGGATGTCGAAGTCCCTTTTCCTGTTCCCATACAGTTGATCGCGACGCTCGTTCGTCTGACATTGGTAGATTTTGATCGCGTTGTAGCGAGTCGTAGCAGCTCCTGTTGCTTTGTCTTCACGTAATTTTGAGGAAGAAATCCATGATACGCGTCATTGATGCGCAAGAATCCCAGTGGATCTTCTGCAGTCTCTAGTTGAGCGAAAAATGCCCGAGCACTTTGTGGTTCGGATAGACGACCACTTAGAGCGAATGATACGGACAAGTCAGGCGGAGATCGCAATCCACAGGGTGAAAACTGACAGAGTTCTCCCTCTCGAACCAATATCAAACCGTTTACAGACTGTCCTTCGCAACATACAGCTTTAGAGCCGACGACCTTGACAAATGTCGCCTGAAACAAATGCATATGCTTCTGTTAGAAAAAAAATATAGGTTCAAGAATTTATCGCGAAAATACCCGGTACGCGAGATCGCAGATGTCTGTTGCAGGAATATTATGGAAAGCTGGGGCCATGGAGAGGAATCGAGCTGCGCGTTCTCGCTTTAAAAAAAATAACGTATTCATTAGAAAAAAAACAATGGAAGATGTAATTAAGATATCTTACCTCAATTTCGTGTTGTGAACGATCAATTCGACTCCATTGATGCCACGAAAGAGCCCCGATCACACACGAAGTCATCGTTACGGCTGAATACGCTCTGCAGAGATACATTATTAGTTAAAAGATTCTATGTAGCTTTGGAAATATACCGTACTGTGCCTTTTTTTCTTACCGTGAAGAGTGTGTAAACTGTCCTTGGTGACCGAAAACGTCTCCACGTTCAAGTTCACAGAGCTCTAATTGCGATTGCTTCCAGTCATTGCTCACGGTTGTATTACATGTACTCCATGGAGATTCCCAATTGTTTTCAGGCTCACATCGTTCGTTTTTATCCAGTTCGTCCTGCGCTTCAAAAAACACTTCCGAACGTTCTGGATGCTTGGGTGATGACTGGAACAGCCTCCCAGCAGTCTTGGAGATAGTTATTCTGCCTTGAAAAATAAAATAAAGCGAGTTATCTCGAGGAGCTTCATTGTCTTCATCCTGCTCCATAAAGATCGGCGTTCGTGGTGGAAGAGCTCCTTCGGGACTCAACACAAGCTCACGACATAAAAGTCTGCAAACTTCAGGATTTAGTGCTGCACAAACTGAAAATCTCTTCTGCATAAAGTCCACAAGATACTGAAGATCACTCTCACTTCTTTCAGTAGGTGGAAGCCGAGCAATTTCCATACTACGTTGGAGCGTCCAAGCTGTCAGTGCGTCTTCAGTATCATCAACTTCGCTTTGAGGCTCGTTCATTTCTTGATTAAGGTCTGAGTCGAGCTCCAGTTCCTTCGGTATAACATCTTCATCACTTACAGTTTCTTGAAAAATTGTTTTCTTAGGAGAAGTTGAGTGTTTGACGGTCTGGTACAGATGCTCGGCAGTATAGATGGCGCTTTCATCTGTCAAGGTTGTAGAGGACACTCCTGTATACTTCTGAACAAGATCGTAATCTTGTGCTGCTTTTTCGAAATCCCCATTTTTGCGATACGCTGCGGCTCGCTGGCGATAAAAAACACTTGGGGTTGGCCCAACACTCGATCCAGAGGAGCTCTGAGACCCTCCTTTACGTTTACTAGCAGCAATCGCGCGTGAGAAATAGTCGATAGCTTGGGATACTTTATCGATTCGCATACACAAATTACCCATATTATAGTACGCAAATGCGTGTTGTCCACCGGAAAGTTTCTGCACTTGCCTGTAAGCTGCTAGTGCTGGTGCGAATTGACCTGTTCGCTCTAAGCACACGGCTAGGTGAAATTTTGCCTCAATTTCACTAGGCCTTGCAGTGGATAAACTGGTGTAAAACTTGATGGCTCTGTCGTATTCCCCGTTTGCTCGTGCCTCGAATGCACGAGAACGAAGACGTTCTGTAGCGTTCATGGCTGCTGTTGAGACGACACGAGCTCGGGATAATAACTCGACAGTTTTCGTTTCAACACCGTCACTATTTGTTTTACCATCGCGACCAAGTTGACCTCGAGGCTCCACGCTTCGACCAATAAGCGGATTAACGTATTGCTCCTGGTTTCGTTCTCGTTTAATTGCCTCTTGTATCGCTCTATTGTCGCTTCTTGGCGTAAAAAATTCCATTTGTCCATGTTGACGGGTCTTGAACGTTCGACTGGTAGCAGGTCGCTTGGGTAGTTTTACGTTGTCAGATGGAGTAGATACTCGAGCGGTGGAAGGTCTTGAAGGGCGATGTTGACTAGACAGCTGTGTATCGGTAGATGTCAAGAATGCCCATTGCGCTGTGGCGGGGTATGACAATTCGTGATGAAGTCTACGATGCGAATGAGCCGAGGTTCCGCGGGCAGATCTAACCGTAGCTCCGTCGGAATAAATTCGCAATGATGGAGTACATCGTGATGATTCCGACGCCAACGGGGGTCCGTACATCATCTCTTGCTATAGTACGTGTTCGTTTATTCTTTTTTTTTCTTGATGTACGTGTTCTTTGTGCGAGAATTTGCCCACTATTATTAGTCTCGATGTTTGTCTTGAAATACTTGATACCAGTACTTTTTGGATCAAACCAAACAGATGCTATGGCTTCTTCCATTCCATCCGCAGTTGGAGATCTTGATGACGAGCTGGAGAACGCAGTCTTTCACGAAAAACAAGGGATAGCAGGCGATGCACCTTCATCGACCATATCGCGTTTACTGTGCTGTTTGCGAAATCGTTGTCTTCGTGGAATTTGCGTATTTTTTCCGTGCGTGGTCTTCCTGCTGGTGTTTTTAAGCCTTCCCTCCAGTGCGACGACAACTACGAGACGAGCTTTCTTGATTCTGGCTGCCATTCCACCGATCGTTTACATTTTTGTTGGCATGTACACTGGGGTACTCGCGTATTGCACTCAAGTATCACTCGACACACAAAATGCTCGGGCAGCTCATAACTACCTGAACACTATAAAACAACAGAGTAAAATTGCCGTAACAACAGGCCAGAAACAACAAAGTAGCAACTTTCCGGGTCGATTTGCTCTGTTTCTTGAAGCTGCGCGGTCGGGAGATATGAAGACGGCGCAGTTGTGTTTGAGAAACGAACAAAACGTGGACGAAGTTGATCATCTTGGACGCACAGCTCTCCACTGGGCAGCGTTGTCTGGATCAGACGAAGTATTATCTCTTCTGCTGCGAAATGGAGCTTCGGTCGACCAGCAAGACACACTGGATGGGCTTACGGCACTACACTACGCTGCATTTTATGGTCATATCAAGAGCACAAGACTGCTGGTCGGTGCTGGCGCTTCAATGACCATTATGGACAACAGAAGAATGAACCCACTGCAACTCACTGAGATGGCCAGTCTCAAGCTAGCGAGTGTTCAACCTACACACCAGATGATCATCAAATATCTGCGAGTTGCCATGAAGGACGACGTCACGCCACCCCTGGAAAATGTTGCTGGCCTTACTGTTTTACGGCTAGTAGAGCGACAAGCACATAATCTTCCGCAGATGGAGTGAATTATGATGCACGCATGGGCACGAAACTTTAAATAATTGAGCTTGTTACTTTTTTTTAATGAATTTAGTTTTTTTTTCGATTTGAAATCCGTAACGTCAACGTTTAAAACTGAGAGTACTTTACTTAAATTGTAGTGTATGCTGCTAACCAACGTGCAGTATGGCCGTCCTGGTTCCTGCTCAACTATGGAGCACATTCTGGTTGTCTTCCGCTGCTAGAGGGTAGAGAGGTCCGCTAAGTCCACTTACAGCAGGGTTGCAGTCCACAAATGACCAGATATTCCCCTCCAAACCTGCCTCCGGTGGATTCATAAGTCGAGACGAAAAATCCGGATTTGCTACGGCACTGAAGGAATTGGCTGATTTAGTCAGAATCTTCTCCAGATCGCCACAATAAACAGTATTGCCAGCGTAGATCACTCGGGGTATGTCTCGAATACTCACCCGTCCGAGAATTTCATCTGTCCACGACCAAAAGTAGGAAATACTCGTTCCCTCCACGTATATAGAAGTGAGTGTCGATGAGAGTTGCGTCACATTATGAGGAAGTTCTCGAATATTTGTATCGCCGATACCCAAATCTGTTAAACCTTCGATCTCAAAAATCTCAGGAGGAAGTTCGCTGATAGGGTTGCCAGTGAGTGAGAAGTATGACGGGTTAACGCGTAATAGAGTTTGTGGTACGGTTTGTAGTTGACTGTATTCGATAATGACAATCGATCCTGCACGCCACTTTACGTCAAGATTGTCAGGCACTTCACGAAGATTGGTAATGCAAAACTCATAGTCATACAAATTGAGCGGTGGATCACTAGATTGGAAGCCTGCAGGTAATTCTCCATTTGTCATATTCGTTCGAACGAGCATTAGAGACAAAAATGCCGGGTGGTTCGTATTCGTAATTGCAGCAGATTCTCTCCACTCGACAATCGTCGAGTTATAAACTTTGACACTGATGAGTTGATGAAATTCATTGAACGTGTCGGGGATGTCGACCAAAGGACAGTGCTTGATAACCATCATGACTACGGTAGACCCGTCAAATTCACGCCATTTAATGTCAATTTCTTCCAGTTGACCAGAAATTTGTAGGCGATGACAATCGAGGGATATCAAGAAACAATACGGTCGTTTTACAGCCCAAGGTCTCACTTGTAATGTACACTGTTGTAGTGAAGGTTGTACTGAAGCCTGGATGTGCAGACTCAGCACTGCAATCCCCCACATGAAGAATAGACAATGTATGCCATGCATCATAACGTCCCATAGACGCCACCATTTTACTTTTCTGCCGTGGTGCTTAGGCGACGCTCGGATGCTGTTGACTTACCCTTAGTTTTACTTGGACTGTCCAGCACGGCTTCTTTAAAACCTACAACTCGATTTCCATGTCGCGGAATGGGGTACAGTAATTCTTTCATGTTGGTTATGGCCATGAGCAAACCGAGAGAAAAAAGCACTCGAGTGGCTAGATCAGACCATGATACAACAAGGACCATTTGAAATTCATTCAGTGCTTTTGCAGCCCATTCATCGTTGTACCATGGGTATAGACCAAAATCTGCGGTCTCGGGAGTATACTGCCCCACGTAATTCAGCACTATGATGAACGTCACGCCCATGCAAGAGAAAAGATCGAGCATGGAATCGCTTGCAAGACTCGCAAACCTTTTACGAGCTTCATCGCGCCGAAACAGAAAAGCATGAATTACCACTGGCGACCAGCAGTTAAGAACAATACCCACCACGTAAAATCGGTTGAGTAGCGCATTCGGGAGTAGGCTACTCATACGGTAGGCTTGGATTGTCTGTAATGCAGTCTCAATGAACTCGCGGAAGATTGCAATTACGTGAAAATATTGTCCATTGACGCCCAGTATTCCGTGTCGGCTTATGATTTGTGCAGAAAGTTTCGATATCCATTTCAGTAACTCAGAATTCGCTCGATTGGCGTTTTTTGTATTAATTTCAAGAATTTGCATCGTTCCCGTGCTCTTCTTCAATATCTTGGATTCTCTCCAATCTCCCCACGGTGTGAATACAAGCTTCCGCAGCCATACTGAACTTGCAGCCATTAACACGATGCACGAGCCGTGGATTGAAGACATGATCATGTGAACCGTTGCAATGATATCATAATATTCCGGTGGCATCCCAACACGGTAAAACACCAGGTATGGCCATATCTGCGTGTCATTCAGCCACCAGTAGAACAGCGCGTACGCCATGTTATATCCACAGGTAGCAAGATGAATGCCAAGAAATACGAACCATCAGATCGTAAAATACCACCATGGCACCAACACCACTTCTTGGGAAGAAAACCACGGGGCTTTCCTAGAAGCAGACATGGGTGATAACTCCTATGTTATTTGATTATTGTATGCACCGGCTAAAATTAGATACCATCTTAATGGTCGTAATACTACCTATAGTAATACGTAAGTTTACGTGTAAACGGAAGTGTAACATCAGGGTAGAACGTGACAACGTCGGCAATCAAGAGAATGGAGCACTTGGCAATTGAGCATTGGGCAATCATCCTCAAATAAAGAGTAGGGGGCAAATATTAATACGATGCACAGACCAAGAAAGGAAGACACGATCACATGGAGAGTTGCAATAATTTCATAACAATCCAGGGACATCCCACTTTGATAAAATGCTAGAAACAGCCTGAGCTCAGCGTCACTTAGCCTCCAGTAGAAGAGTGCGTACGCCATGGCACCAGAACAACTTCTTGGATAGAAATTACTGAAACCATCGTGTATTCGGCCTTGTTTGCTTGTTCTTGGTTGAGAGGTAAGTAGTTAGTTAAGGTCTTGTCGCCGACCCCGGATAGTGAAGATAAAATAGTACTTGCTGGGAGGAGATTTATCCGTGCAGTACTAATTTAACGGCGTGACCTGTTGTCGAGTGCTCTATCATGAGCTGAGGTACTGTGGTATTAGGCTTCTTTACAAAAATCAAATAGAAGGCCATCTACCACCGAAAAACAGGTTCAGATGAACGGCATAGTATAATACAATGCGGGTAGTAGAAGGGGAACTTCGACATTCCGTAGGCTTCACGACGTTGGAATGTTTTTTAGAGGTTTTACGTAGATCGACGAACCACGGATGAGTCGCAAATCCATTCAGTTATTGCTTCAGGAGTTTGCTGAAAATCAACTTGACGACACCAGTCACTGAAATGCCAGTCCCAGGCTGGCAGTGCGAACGTCCATCCATCTATTTGCTCCGGATACTTTGAAAGTAGCCATTGCGTCAATTCCAAGCACGGGTGTTCAAGCAGGGTCGTCTGAGAATTAAAACCTTCTGATCTGTTCTCATCTAGAAACAGCGCTATTTCAAAGTTACCATTTCTGATAGCTTGTGTCATAGCATCTCGAGTACAACCTTCGCTGCGGTTGAAATGAAGCCACTTTACTACAGAAACATGCCCACTTCTTGCAGCAGCATCCATAGCTCTAGTGGTGCATCCTTCAGTTCGATTAGCGTGTAGCCATTTCACAACATCCAAGTGACCACTTTCTGCCGCCCAATTCATCGCCTGAACTGTACAGCCTTCAGTTCGATTTTGCTGAAGCCATTTTACTATTTCCAAATGCCCAAAGCGAGCGGCTCCATCCATTGCTGCAGCGGAACCCTCACATCCATTAGTGTGTAGCCATTTGACAACTTCCAAGTGGCCCAACCGAGCCGCAGTATACATCACAAAAGCTGATAACTCGCCGATAGTGTAGTTATCATTCAACCACTTCACAACATCTACGTAGCCACCTCTGACCGCTCGATTCATTGTCGATACATTGCATTCATCATTGCAGTTTTCACGTAGCCATTTAAGGATTTTTAGGTGTCCACCGGTGGCCGCAGCGTTCATAATTCCTATTTCCCAACCTGGACAATCATTATCTTTGAACCATTTTACCACCTGTAGATGTCCATTTCTCGCTGCATATCTCGCCGCCTCACTCCTTAGTGGCAGACCTACTTCAGAGTAGAGCCACTCTAGAACATCTAAACGACCAGAAGCCGCTGCTGCGTGCATCGCGTCTTTATTGGGGCATCCAATTTCAAGAGAATATGCAAATTTTAGGAACTCCAGATCTCCGCATCGAGCAGCATCTTGCCAATCGATCGTCGGATATTCCATCTCGCAATTCTCAAATATCCACCTAGCTGTGTCGTACTTCGATTCCATCTGTGCACTCCACAGTGCATCTTCTGCATCAACGCCGTGCTCTTCATATAACCACCAAATGATATCCACGTTCCCTGCTTTTCCTGCTGCTTGCATAATTTCGTTCATACATTCACGTCGAGGTGGAGCATTCCTTTTTAACCACTCGACAGCTTCAAAATGTTCGTTAATTAGAGCTCTACACATTTCAATTCCTCCCCAACATGCACGGTCATAGCATTTGTCAAATAACCACTGCAGAATCTTCACGTGACCTCCCGCTGCTGCGCCGTTTACTACTTTAGTCAAGAATTCTTGAGGTAAAAAACTCTCGACCAGCCATCTAACGGCGTCCAAATCTCGTCGCTCAGCTGCGAACCACGTGGTTCGATTAAATAAATAGCGACGGTAGAAAGGATCCATTGAACGACTTGGTTCCTTGCTGGAAACGTACTGCATTAGATGCAGACTTCCAGATTTCGAGAAAGTCTCGGCGAAGCTCCACGACGGAGAGAAGACGTCGAGAAACGCGTCGATGCTCTTCGTCACATGTGGCAACTCACGGGAATGTGTAGGCAAACAGTATTTGCTTATGATCTGGGCGCTGGTGAGCAGCATGGACGTTAAAGCTTGAGCGTAACCACCGTTATGAAGCTTTTCAGTATTAGAAATGTTCTAAATCAGACATTTTGTATTTTAGGTTTACAACTCGTCTAAAATCTGTATTTCAGAAATTCAACTTTGGAATCCGTGAAAAATGCTGCGTGCAAAGGTGCTGCCGGAGGTTCTAGGCCAGATCGTGGGCGACGGCATCAGCGCTTGCATGTACGTATCATATCTCTATGACGGCCTCCGTCTTGCGATCCTAATGCTGCAAGTTGCAGCTCTCAGCTCTATCTGCTTTAATAGTTATTCTCCCTTAATCGCAGCTATTTTCTATCTCTAACGCCTATATTACTCCAGGCTGGTGACGTTGGATGGCGCGCTCGTGGGCTCCGTGGGTGACGGAGAGACCGTAGATCACAAGGTGGTGGGAGCCATCGCCTCCCACACATGGGGCGAATACCTACACGCCGGCAAAGAGGCCAATCCCACAGGAGATCTACGTACCATGCTCGTCGAGCTCGAGGCAAGTCTTACACAACATTCTACAGCTTCTCTGCTCTTTCTTACGAAGCTACTAGACCCTAACAAATACTTTACTCTCGTGCTGTGCAGCGTGGACGTCTAGCGATGACAGTAGCGGGCAAAAGCTTTCTGCTCTGTGCGTACTCAAGCACAGATGCGCCGGCTGGATTACTCAAGGCCAAGGTGGAGACACTGGGAACGTATTTGACCACATCCCTGGACCAGATTGAAATGTAATCAGAGAATTCAGATCAATTCGATGGGAGGTTTGTCTTCCATTGACGTTCTAAGGGTGTACCAAACAAAACTACGAAGCTATGGGGGTCTCAGCTTGTTGCTTACAGACGAAAGTCGTCCAGTGTCTTGCCTCCAAGCTGTTCAAGACGCTTCTCAAGCCACAGTTGAGTAGCGGGTGTCAGACCTCCTTCCATGGACTCCAATATCTGCAGCAGTCGACGGAACTCTGGCAAGTTGTTAGCGTCTAGAAGCTGAGCCAGAACAGGCACAACCGTCTTTCCAAGAGGTTCCACGCCGTATAAATTGTACCAGTCCTGCAAGAAGCCGATGAGGTCTTCGATCGTCACAGGAGCGTCCGAACCCAACAACAAACTCCGTGCTGCCGCCGCACTTTGCGCACTAAGCTTATCATCACCCTCGAGCTTCAGCGCCTCACTGAGTCCAAGCTCCTGCTCGATCGCCTCCCTGTCCGACACATTCAGCATAGCAGACAGCTCATAGTCCAGTGCTTCCTCAGGTGACGTCGACTGTTCTTCGCTCTCTTCAGCTTCCTCTTCGCCATCATCTTCCTCCGTATCGACCGTATTATACGCCTCACCATTCGGCGAAGCATGACGTTGATGCAGGAGTCCAAGCGCAATACGATGGATGGCTTCTTGTGACGGCTTCATGCCTGCATTGTGCATTTCTTGCAGCAAAGAGTGGGCACCACGGACGTCCAGACTCGTCACGCGTTGGAAGATGAGCTGGTCGTACTCGCGCGGAGCTAGTTGCTTCGTGCCTAACAATCGCTGCTGCTGACGTACAAGAGCGTCCGTCTCCTCTTCGCGCCAGAAGCGCACGGCAGTGCATACGGCATGTTCGAAGAACTTGGTCAACTTGTCCTTAGTCTCCGGGTCTTGCATGTCCAATCCACCGGATTGTACAGCTCTAGAGACCGCGTTGACCTGCTTGAAGACGCGTTGCATCATGTGCAGACTCGCGTGCTTCTGGCGTTGAGTGAGACGCCTATCCAAGCGCCGAGCCGCCTTCATGTACTGCTCCATAAGTTTTACGCTAACATCCAGGTCGTTTTCCACGTCAAATCCTGCGTCCAGCAGCTTACTCAGCACATAGTCCACCGTCTTGTCTGCACGCTTCAAATACTCCTTAATCAGCAGTTGATTGGCCTTCAGAACACGCGCGTTATTCAGACGTCTCTCCACTGTCGTAGCTCTCCTGGACTCCTGTTCAATGATCTGGTTCGCCCTGCTCTGTTGACCTAGCAGTTCACGCAGGTCGTTTTCATCCAGAGTCACATCTTCCGCGTTCTTCTTGCGCTTAATCTCGTCAATAGTCTGCTGCGCCTTGGTCAGCTTACGCATGATACGCTCGTACATCATACGCATCTCCACCACACGCGGAGATGTCGCTACGTCACGACTCTCAGCACGAGCCAAGGCGAACTCACGTGAGAGCATCAGAACATCCATTAACGACCACGGGAAGATCTCCATAGCAGCCAAGAACGGCGCCTTGGAGAGCACAGGCTTGTCTTCGGTACTCAAAGGAGCACGCTCGATATACTCGTCCAGAATCCTCTTGACAGGTGCGATAAGACCACAAGCTGCTGCAGCCTTGGCACGCATAGTGTACACCTCATCGTATTGGGTGGCTGAAGCGTAATTGAACTTGGGGAAGGCGCTGGAGAGCTGCTTGTCGACGAACATGAACACCTTGCGCAGTTGGTCCACGTGTCTCTTGTATACACTAGCCGACAGCGAATTGAAGCGTTCCGTGCTGGAGTATACGATGGCTTTCATCGCGTTAACCCAGAGCGTGTGTACGTGGCCACTAGCAGTAGTAGAAGCTGAAGAAGTGAGCTCTTCCACCATCTTCGAGTCCAGCAGTTGACTCAGGGTAGCGGGGATTTCGTTCCAACGTGCACCTAGTAGAAGCGCCTCATAGGTCTCCACATCCACCACGAGGTCGCGTGTCACCATGAGCTGCAGCATACGGGAGAACTTGACGCCGTTGTCCGCGTAGACTCGAAGGGCCTCGTTGTAAGGGACTGTAGATCTCTTAAGCTTCAGTTCCTTGGCATTCTGTGCACCGAGTGAGTGCTCGTACTCGTCCAGCTGAGCTTCGATACCGGTGATGAGACGTTCGTGGAAGAGCGCGAACTCCTTGTCCGTCTTGAGCTGCAGTGGCCGCTCCTCGCGCTCCACGACGCTCATTATCTCGCGCTGCCACTTGTCATCGGTTACGTCTTTCAATATCTCGCGCAGATCCTGTAGAGATGTGCGCTTGGAGCCGCTGATGAGCTGCAGCGCCACGTTGCGGATGAGATACTGACGAATGCGTTCTGTGGGACGGAAGCCGAGCTCCTGCATCTGCTGCGTGAGCTGCGTGGCCAGCTCGAACTGCCGCTGCTTGGAGGCAATGGCCACGCCGCTTTCGTAGGCGTGCGCCACCTCCTCGTTGAGCTGTGGCGACTCGTATTGACGCTGCAACGTCTGTACGTCGTGTAACCAGAGTGGCAGCGCCTCGTTCGGAGCCACATACGCTTCATTGTCGTCGTACAGCGCGTTGCATCGCGCCTTCAGTAGCGCCACGACACTCTCGCGCTGTTTGTCAGTCAGTTGCGGTGCTGGATGCTCGACGATGGAGGTGAAGGACCGCGTGACAAGCTGAATGGGGGCATTGCGCCGCGAGTTTTGCAGGAATGACGAGCGCGCTGGAAGTGAGAGAAGAGCGCGAGCTGCTGAAGATGAAGAGGAGCGAGTTGCACGCCAGCGGGGACGCGCAGCAGCCGCTGAAACGCGGCGCAGACGCAGCGCGCGGTGCATATCTCTTCGCAGCCAGACGATCAGGGAGATCAAGACTGAGGTGGTCAGGTTAATGTACCCCGAGTGTATCCGGTTACGCAAAAGGGTTACTTGCGTCGAAGTGACTTGAAATTGGTATGCCTCGGTTTGAAATTCAATTGCCATTTGACCCTGAGAAAATTGATACATTCATCTCTTTAACTAAATAATGGTCATTTGCTCCCACTTTACTATGTAGACGTCTAACCTATTGGAAATGACTCTTTCCATTTATACAAGAGCGCTCCCATTATCGTGTCTACTTGTGAACAACCAAAATAGTGAAGGCAAACAAGTCTAATGGCACTCACTCGGTCGCGGGCGTCGACGGCGCCTCTGGCGCATCCTGCGCCTCCAGCGGCCCCAATGAGCTCCGTGTCCATCCCCATCCGCTTCCAATGTCCTCTGTGTCTGGACGTGCTGCGTCGTCCGATTCAATTGCCCTGTTGCCAACGCTACCTCTGGTAATGGAAACCGGCTCCCTCTCATGGAATGTAATCTCTCTAACTTGTTATATCTTCACAGTATGGAGTGCTTCGAGCGCGGATTGGAGCTCACTAGCGTCAACTGTGGCTTCTGTCGCCGCCGCGTCGTCGGCTTCGCTCGTACCAAGCAGTACAAGGTGGACGAGGCCATGTGGACGGCGATCAAGACCCAGTGTCCGTTTTTAAGCGACATTCCGGACGATAGAGAGCCGCTTGTCGAGTTCTTCGATGAGAACGCCCCTCCATTGCATAATGGTGGCGAGGACCACCCCACTACGAGCGATGAGAGCTCCGGAGAGCTCAAAGCTTTTTATGAACAACAGCTTCGCGAGCATCAATCCCAGGTGCAAGAGGCGGAGCAACGCGCACTTGAGCAAACGATCCAGTTCCTGGAGAACGATCTGGAGTTTACTGCATCGCTGGCTGCGTCTCCGGCGTCCTCAACGTCTTCATCGTCATCGGGTCCTTCTCTATCAGGAGCAAACAAGAAGATGAAAGTATCAGCTGCGCCTATGACGACCAGGAGCTCGAGTCACCGACCAATTACGCGCTCGTTGAGCTCTGTGGACGACAAGCAGCCCAAGCTGGACAGCTTTTTCGGGTCTTCACGGGCTACTTCCAGTCATTCAGGGCAGAATTTACGTCGTACGAACGTCGGTCTCTCATCGCCACGTGCAACCACGCACTTGAAGATTGATGAGCCACATAGGAAGTATTTCCTGCGCAGCGCATCGCACAGCCCGACGCCGACCAAGCAGAGACGACGACAAGCTGTTAAAGGACGCAAGCCGCTTCTCCAGCTCACGCTCGACACGACAATCTCCCCCATTGCACTACACACCCGCAGCCGAGATCTCAAGCGTGCAAGCTCGGAGGATTCAGAGGAACCTACTAAGATGCTGACACGTCAAGGACGACGACGGAGCTCCTGGAAGTGTATCCAGTGTACCTACACGAACACGTGCTTTGACAATCGATGCAGCATGTGCCGTAGTCTGCCTCCTCCTGAAGCATATACCTCCCTCAGCTCGCACTAACTTAAAACAAAAAATGGTGTTGTTATTCGTGTTAGTTGCTCGCTACTGCGTCTTTCGTTTCGGGATTCTAGTGGTACAGCACTTCAATACGACAAGATAGGTAATACTAACGTTGAATATGGCAATCAATAGCACCACAAAGGCCACAACTTCAGGTGTAGACGCGTCGATTACGGACTGCACACGACGTTGGTATACCTCATTGTAAGGCTCTGTAACAGTTTGAGCCCATGTGAAGTTCCCATCAGAAGTAAGCTCGAGGATTCTGAACACGAGTAATCGTTAGCTAGTCCAGTTCAGCACCATCTTGCAGAGTACTTACCCATAATTTCGGCCCAGGAAGACGCGATCATACTCTATATACCAAGGTGAGCTCCGCGGCAAAAGTGATGACAGCAAGGGGATAAGGCGAGCCCATGAGTAAGCTATCTCGAACACCGGTGTTAGCTGAGTGATGAAGTAGTAGTAAGGGATCAACTTTGGGTCTTGAATCGACGTCGAACCGTTCGTGACTCCACTGGTGATCAGTTGATCCAAGCAGCTAGAGTTGAATCCCTCCCTCGGGCACACGCGAGAGTGAGCCAGCATGTGCAGATCGCCACCAACTAGCAGTCGTATCAACGGTGACGACCTCTGGAATAACTGGAAAAGATCCTCTAGTCCAGGTCGCTGCTCTGCCATGCCCGGGTATGTTTCGTGCTCAACGATGTGAGCTATCGCCGCGGAGAACGCTGACTGGAAAAACAGAGGCATGCTGGCAAACACGACTGCGGTGTTCTCGCCCTCCTGGCTCCAGGATTGCAGTTTTCCATTGATATATTGTCTCTGCTGGTCACTCACGAGCTTAGGTAGATCTTCTCTTTGGTCGAAAAAACTACGATCAAAGCGCACATCTAGGAACAACAGTTTAAGCTGCTGTAGTTCCACTGCAAAGTACACAGGGTAAGTCCGAATAATGTCACCGAGTGCGTCTTCGAGGAAGTCCACGTTGTCCCATGGAAAGTCGTGGTACAGTTGATACTGGAACTCGTAATAGGCTTGCAGTCCAGCTCGACAATGCAGCTGGAGCGCCACAAGCCGCTCGCGTTCACTTTCGCTCAATAGCAAATTGTGAGGAGCTTGAAAAGCCTTTTGCACGAGCTCAAAGTTAAAGTTGTTGACGATTTCATGGTCGTCAGGGATCATCCAATGCGCTCCGACACGCAGCACGCGCTGAGCTGCCTTCCTCCCGAACGTTTTCCTGTAGATACCACGGAACTGCTGCAGAACAGCGTCATACCTCATACGACGCTTCTTGTCGTCTTTCATATCTTTTAATGGGAAGGGCACTACTTTGATACTCAGTTCTCCGGCATCTGCGTATATCTGATCACCTAGATGAGCCGTGCCAAAGTGCACCGTCGACGATCCTAAGGCGCCATCGTGCGCTTCGATGTCGCTCGCTATACGCTCCATCAATACGTCGTCGTGGTCATCCACGAAGCGGTCGCAGGAGACAACGACCACTCGGTCTGTCCACGCTTCTCCGTCGCTCTGCGCTCGCGCCGTGTGGAACATGATTGTCGCCTGCTGTTTCGGCTCGTTTATTGATAATTGCACCACGTATCTGCGTCCTGGTTCCAGATCTCGCAGTGTAATTACTCGTGGACGTGATGCGATATCTGTTAGAGGTCGATCAAGTGTCTGTGCCGGTGTAGAGCCTGCCAATGCTTCCAGTGTCGTCGCCATGGTCTTATGTACTTGGACGCTGAGCATCGAGGCGGACAGAGGTACTTGGTCGTACAGGATGCGAGCCGACGAAGAGGTCACGTCCCCCACGACCAATAGCAGCGAATCATTGAGGTCTTTAGCGATAGATTGGGCGGCTGTGGTCGATGTGGTAGCATGTAGCCAAGCGCACAGCAGCAGCACCAACACACTTTGAGCCATTGCCCTGATGTCCTCGATGACACTCTTTCAAAATGTTTCTAAACGTCATAAAGCACTTTTTCTGAAAAAAAAGCTCTTGCCTTGACAGCTGTGGCCCACCATAATAAAAATAAATCAAAAGTGATCTGAAATCGATGCGCACTTTTTTCTATACAATGTACTTTTTTTTCAAAAAAACGGTGAGAATTCAACGTCAGTGACTCGAATACAAGCCTGTATACCGTATACAGTGTCCTATCCGAGTCATGCATTGCACAAACAAATCCGAAGTCCTACATTAGTGTACGAAACACGAGTTTGAATGAAGGTCTAATTGACACTTGCTTGCACATGACATGACGACAACACGCATTCGCTTAAGCTGCCTGCTGACTAGGAGTCTGCCTGCTCGCTAAGCTTCGCTTTCTACACAATATGGTCGCGTCTCATAGATATATCCGCCTCCACTTGGGTGTGGGGTCTGTTCACTCACTGGTTGCAGTCGTCGCAGGCGGTCAATCACCTGTAGTTGCCGCCGCTGCTGCTATTGCCATAGCTGTATCGCGTTGACGAGCGTCCTGCACTTCGGGAGCGATCCTGAGGCAATGAACTCGAATGGTAGAAGCCTCTTCGACTCCCTGAGCTGGATCCGTTGCTGTAAAAGCTTGAGGATCGATGTCCGCTTTGGAAATGTGGCTTCATGTCCATCATGCTCTGACTATGCCGCCATGACGGCCGGTTGGGTGGATACTTTGCGAAGGACTGCTGATTAGCCGCTGCAGCAGCGGCACTGACAGGTGGGTCGGCGATAGGGCTGCCTCCTTTGCGTGGATCGCCCACATCCCAGTTCGACTTCCGCTTCCTCCTCCGCTCAGCTCGTCGCTTGGCTTCCTCGGACATGGGTACCTCACTGATCTCCAAGCTGCGCTTTCTGCCACGGTCCTGGTGGCGGTCTGATGTGTCCCTCCGATAGCTGTCGTCTCCCTTGCCCACACTGCTACTGCTACTGCTCTTCCTCTCCAGTCTGGGGGCCGAATCCTTTCGAGAGAGTTCCTTCTTCTCAGTCACCGGCTTCTCATGTTCAGAAGCTGCGGGGGAGAACTTGGCTGCTGCCGCTGCAGCAGCTGCTGTGTTGGTATTCGGCGTTTCACTGTCCTTCACCTTCGCCGACGGACTGATAGACGCGGTAGTTGTGGGGCTGTTCCGCTCCAACGGAGGAGACAAGTGCGACGACTCGTTGTTCAACGGCGTCTTCACACGTAACTCCGATGACGAGGCTGCCACGCTAGCGGCTTTCGGCGTGATCATCGCCTTGGGTGTCGTCAGCTTGGGGGTCTCTGTAATTTGTTTCTCTGTGGTCTGTTCCTGCGGTTTGTTCTCTGTCACACTCGTAGGAGCCGGTGCGGGAGGTTCTTCCTCCTTCGGCTTCGGAGATGGAGCCGACATCGCCACAGCCTCCGACTTCTCTGGGATCTCTGGCGCCTTCTCCGTCGGTTCATTAATAGCGAGTGGAGCAGGGGGCGCAGCAGGGGTCACCTTGACCTCTGACACGGGCGACGTGGCGATCGCAAGCGTCTCCTTCTCCGCTTCGGCCTCCGGTTCCTCGGACGAGCTACTGGCGTCCTGTTCCTTACACGTGTCCATCTGTGCGCTCCAGAGCTGGATCCAGCGCTTTTTGGGCGTCAGTTTGCGCCCAAATGGAGCCCTGTTGCCCCCTGCGACGGCCGTCACCTTAAGCTTCTTGCCAGTCTTGACCTTGACGCCGGAGAGCTTGTTCTTCTTGCCCTTCTTTCCACGACCTCCCTGTCTGGCCGATTCGCTCCCATCCTGTGTCCGGTTCGAGTCGTCCCCTGACGCGCGCGCCTCCTGTTCCATGCGCTCGATACTGGCGATGATCTGCGCCATTTTGCGCTCTTCGCGACTCATCCTTCCCTGTGTTTAATACGCTATGTGTCTCGTATGGCCTGTGCTCTCTTTCTCTCTGTCTACCGATCGATCCGTTGCGTCGGTCGGGCCGCTTCCTGCGTCTCTGTCTGCGCGCGCCTTCTTCCGACTGCAAAGAAGAGCAGGCCAAAGCCCATGAGCGGCACACTCTCCCCGCGTAGGGATAAAACCTCAAGAAGCGGTTTATAAAACCTCGTCCAATACAAATTCCAAGAGAAAAAGTACGATTCGAAACGAGACCTAACCGCGAAGTGGGATCTTTTCGTGTGCTCCACATCAATCAACAACCAGACGATAGCAACCCACGACCATCACTCTCTCAACTTCAACAGCAAGTTTTTTTTTTTTGCATTTGCATTTGCCATGGCAAGTCTTCCTCCATCATATACAAATTCTTTCCCAAGCGAAAGCGGCATTAGGTCGCGGACAACCGGCTCCATTTGAATGCTTCGCTGTCATCAGGCTCAAACTGCGTGTGCACTCGCGTGCTCGATTCGACATGCATGGTTACTGATTTGAGCTCGTAGATCGTATCGGGTTTGGCCCAAGCAATACAAGACACTATTACCTTTCGCTTTGTGAAGCAACTCACAAGTTGTGCGTATATGTTGTCACTCTTTGCTCACCCACAAGATAATGGCTGGAAAAGTAGTGCCGAACAAACTCAGTGATACCTTTAAAGTAGCGTAGTGAACGAGGTCTTGGCTTCATTGAGTACATCACAGGATTAATATACCGCTAGTCTAGCGCGTGTGTGTACTGTCATTTATCCAAGCTCGTAAGCAAAATGGGGTTATATGGCCCTCGAGATTGTTAGTTGATGCACCGACGCAATCCATACACACTCAAGCTGACATTGTCAAAGTGAGGCAACGCAGAGTTCTCTGTGAGTCTCACAATGTGAGCGTATTATTTTCTGCGTTGTTCAGATGCGCAGCTTGCGATTTCATGCAGGACTATCTCTGAAGAATGCATTTTTGCGATGACTTACGTAACCGCTGACCATCACTCCGCAACTTCAACAACGGCACTTTTCCTCCATTATTATCATTGCTAAAGCCGACGCGAAGCAGTCATGGCAGACGCCTTTAACCTGGAGCGCGGGATCACTCCGCAGTCAGCGGGCACGGACAACGGGTGGTTCACGGAGGGGGATACTAATGCGGCCGATTCTGGTCCGGCTGTCGTAGCCGAGATGGAGGCCGTGCTGGCTCAAACGCCGGATGCCATCTCACTATACAAGTCGGAGCTGGAGAAGTTGTTGCTGGCCTTTGTCAAGTCTCAGGAGAGCGAGCAGCGACTGGTACACCGCACCAAGGAGATTATAGCGGAGATCCGCTCTAGCCACGAGGCCATGGTGCGTGACCAGGAGGAGGAGAGCGAGGCATTGGCACAAAAGAAGAAGGCCAAGATGGAGCTGGATGCTGTAGTGCAGCAGATCGCTTCGACGAGACAGACGGAGCTAGAAAAACAACAGAAGGTCAATGGCCTTCGAAGCAAACTGGAGGCATTGCAGGAAGAAGTCTCCAAGATGGCCATGCCGTCAAATGGCGGTGACATCATGCTGAATGAAGAGCAGGAGCTTCAGATTTCCACCCTCAAGAACAAGCGTGCCGAATGTGCGCGTGACGTTGAGGCAAAGACGATATCATTGCAGGATCTACGACAGGAGACTAGCAACTTGTTCTCGCTGGTACAAGAAGAGGAGGCCAAGAACGCCAGACTCGAAGAGATTCAAGCTAACGTGATGCTTCAGATTCAGGAGAAGCAGAGTCTTACAGAGAGGGAAGTACGGCGCAAAACGAGGCTGGAAAAGGAGCTTAAGGTACTCAAACAAGCCCACGAACGACAACAGCTTGAAATTTCTGAACTGGAAACACTCAAAAAGGAGAACGAAGAGAATCTACGCAAGAAGGAGCTGGCGATGCGCGAGTCCAAACAGAAGATGGAGAAGTACTTGAAACAGTACGACGGACTATTCCGAACGACCCATTCCTTGACAGAGGCGATGCAATTGCAGTGGCAGAAGAACGTTGAGTTACACAAGGAGAACGTACTGGTTGAACACGAGTTGGACGTTAAGGAGCAGCAAATCCAGACGATCACACGCGACGCGGTGAAAACTGACAAGCTCATGGAGATTGCCAGAGAGCAGCTACAAGATGTCGAAGGCAAGCGCTCCGACTGTGAAACAGAAAAGGAAAAACTCAAGCTGGAACTTGAGAACCTGATCAACATCACGCTTGAAGCAGAGAAGAAGCAGAGTGAGCTGCTCACGAAGAAGTTAGAGGAAATGTTACGAGAGCGCGAGGTGCTCAACAAAATGCTAGTGAAGGCGAATGACCGTACTCAAGCTACGTTCGACTTGATGAAGATCAAGGAGAACACGATGAAGAACTTGCAGAACGAAATTAACGGTCTTAAAGCCCATGTAAAGAAGCAGCGTGCCCAGATCCAGCAGCTTGTTGGCGAACGCGAAAAATACGAAAGGGAAGCTGCCAACGCGACGCAAAAGTTCATGACGTCGTTGGAAGAGGCAAAACTGCAGGATTTGCAGGTTGTATCCCTCCAGCAGAAAATTGTCGAGAGTGAGAGCCGACTGAAACAACAGCAGAATTTGTACGAAGCGGTCCGTACCGACCGAAATCTTTACAGTAAGCAGCTCATTGAGAGTCAAGAGGAGATCGGAGATATGAAGCGCAAGTTTAAGATTATGAACCACCAGATCGAGCAGCTGAAAGAAGAAATCACATCCAAAGATCACGCTCTGGTAAAGGAGCATTTCGACCACCATAAAGTGGACAAGGAGAAGGAGATCCTCAAAAACGAACTACTGCGTATCAAAAAACAGATCCAGTCATCGGAACAGATCATCCTAAATCAAGAACAGGAAGTCACTAAACTAGCGAAGATCATTCAAGAAGCAGACGAAGAAAAGCAGAGGCAGATCAAAGAATACGGATGTGTCGTTCATGATCGTGATACTCTGCGTCAGCAGCTTATCCAGCGTAACGAGGAATTGAGTGTTCTTTACGAGAAGATTAAAATCCAGAAGTCTACATTATCAAAGGGATACTTCCAGTACCAAGAGAAACTGAAAGAAGTCACCAACCTGCAGTCACGAATTCATGCTCTCACGCTTGAGAGAGACTCGAGCAACAACCAACTGTCACATGAAGGTTCACTCAAGCAAGAACTTATCCGACTAGAAAAGGAATTACTACAAGAGAAGACTAAAATCCGAGCTCTTTCAGAAGAGCTCGACCATCCGTTAAACGTCCATCGTTGGCGAAAACTTGAGGGTAGCGATCCGAAGCGTTTCGAGATGATTCGGAAGCTTCAGGCGATGCAGAAGAAGTTGATTCGTAGGTACGAGGAGACCACTATCAAGGACCTGCTCATCTTGGAAAAGGAGAAGCTGTACGTTGAATTGAAGACTATTCTAGCACGACAACCCGGTGCAGAGGTTGCAGAGCAGTTGGTGGTTTATAAGGAAACACTCAAGGGGAAGCAGAACCAGATGAAGCAGATGGAGGAGGAACTTCAAATGTACAAGATGCAGGTGAACGAGTATCGTCACGACCTTGGCCTACTGGAGAAGGAGAAACGACAGATTCAGCAGGAATGGATCAATAGACAGCTGAAAGCGTACAGCAACCAGTTTGGCAACGAGCGAGGAGACGGAAACACTATGGTGTACGGAGACCCTGCATCATACGGCAACCCGGAAGACTGAAGACTATGCAGCTCAAGTAATAATACATATCGCTATCTTGTATTTCTTGACTTAGTGAACTATTGAGGGCCACGGGTGCACTGCGCTCGGTATGTCGGTGCTTCCCAACCATGAAGGACTGTCAGGTTCACCTGCAATGCACACAGTGTTAGCACTGTTACTACCAGCAGCAAGCATCGATAGTGGTCAAGTTCACCTCGAATACTGTTGATCAGTGGCAATACAATTGAAATTTGCGGCAACAAGTCGTTCCATAGATTCTCGCAAGCACGGATCAGCGTCACGGAATTCTGGTCAATGCTTTTAGCGGCAATAAAGTCCCAGGTCCCAGCCACGCGCTGACGCAGTAACTTTTCCTCTTCAACCAAAACAAGCAACTGCTGGAGTTCCTCGTGATAGCTCTTCAAAAGAGCAACATGGGATCAAAATGAAGTAGCAAAGGAAAAATATTGATGACAGTACCAACCTCGAGATGGATCGAACCTTTAAACAACACAGATATATCAAGACCTTGTTCCTTCTCCAGGAAGTCCAGTAGCATCTTCGCGTACTTGCTTTGAACTTGGGCTCTAGTGTTCGAAGAGAATACAATCCAATGTGAACATGATTTGACTTGCTCAAATTTGGCGGCGGTGGACTCCAACATGTACAGTAAACGCTCAAGCTGACGAGTACGCTTGGTGACACATTGAATCACCGAGAATGCGCAGGCCGTGCTGACGATGCTCATGTTGTGCGGGACAACAGCCCTGACAACTAGAACTCTTAAAAATAGGCTTACACGTATATGTACAATCATCTGATTGAAGCTAAACTTTGCTAGTCGCATCTCGTGTTCAACTTGTACGCTGCAACGAACACAAAGATAGCTGCCATGTCTTGCAATAAAATCATTCGGTGTTTTGAGCTATTACTACTAAAATCCTAAAATCCTAATGTGCTAGTGTCCTAAGCTTACTGGTTCTGGTTTTGCAGGGCCGCGAGTTCCTCCTGGAGCCCCAAGACGTACTTCGCCATCTCGTCCCGCGATGTGCAGGACTTCAAGATCATGTTGCGTAGCGCAAGGCGCGCCGAGTCGACGTTCGGGTCCTCTGCGGTAGTGAACAGCGGGTGTCGAGTCACAGACGGCGTCGAGTCCACCGCAATAGGCGAGGTCACGGATCCACTCAATACTCTAGCCAAGTGCTCTGAGTGATCGTCCTGATTGGTGGCGAAGTCTGCGTGTAGTAGCTTCTTGTTGCGAGGAGAGGTGGATGCCGTTGAGCTCGAGTAAGAAGATACTGCAACGCTGGTAGGCGACACAGGGCGTCTCATGCACAGCAGATCGGCGTTCTGCTTGGCGGTGGCAATGCCGTGGGCACCTGGGGACGATGGTGCCTGCTGCGACTCAGCATCGGCCAAACTGGCACGAAGACCGACGCGCTTGCTGCCTCCAGCGCGGATGTGAACCAGCACATAGTCTCCCTTCTCGCCAGTACCCGCTTCATCAGCGAGCATAACAGCATGCATGCGGAAGACCTTCTTCTTAGCAGCCACGTCGGTTGCACGGCTGTAGCACGTAGCTGTGATGTAGCGCACGATGGGCTGCTTCTTCGGCAGACCAGTGACGAAACTCATCTTGCGCCATTCAAAGTCCTTACTCGACTCCTTCTTGCCGCCTTTACCCGCAGGTTTCTTGCCGGTGGGAGTCATCGCGGGCGTCGTGTCACCCGTGGTCTTTTTCTTGCGTGGGAAACCGAAAGATCCCTTGCCAAGCAGACGCGAACACTTGAGAAAATACATGCAAGACACAGGCTGGCTGTAGATGAACTCTGGGTGTAATGGAACACCTCGCGGATCTACACCAAGGTCGTATATGGGGATCTTCAGCTCGCTCTTGGGTGTTGAGAAGATATCGAAGTATTGACTGGCCGAGGGCCAAGGTGTCTTGTCCTCCACCTCAATCTCCTCGTCCTGTGGCTCGGGCTGCGTCTGCTCCTGCTCTGTGGACACGCGCGAGAGCACGTCGAGAAGAGCGTCGGCTGCGACACCTTCCTTGCGTTGCTTCTGGGCCGCCAGCAGCTCGGCCAGCCCAGGCAGCACCATCAGGCGCGGCGCCTTCTCGGGCGAGCCGCGTGCTGGGAAGGCGTAAGGCTCCGCGCTGCTGTCGGGCGTGCGCGGTCGCTTGCGGCGGATCAGCTGGAACTCTGGCGCGCGCTGCGTATCTCTCTCCTCGTCGCTCTGGCGGTGCATGGTGGGCTCCATTCCTTCCTCGACGTGGGTGGCTCGCACTCGGTAACTCGCGTAATGAAACGCTGCGCCACCTTGGTCAACGGGTTGACCTTCCGACACAAGTAAGCTTGCGTGCATACAAATCGTCATATGCGAGGGAACGGGGAATTTCACCGTGTTTCCCTCGCGTATCTGGGGTTCACACCAATAGCAGTTTATTTGGTGTTTAGTAAGAGGATTAGATAATCCCATGGAGTTTAGTCCGCGAGACCAGAACAGTGAATCCCGGGTCTTAGTCCGGGGTTTAGTACACGCAGCTTTAGTCCGCGAGATCAGTGATTTATTCGGATCGAGTGAATGCAATTTGCCCAATACAAATTCCAAGTGAATCGACCGATATGCGGTTTGGCCAGGTGTTCGCCACGCGCTGCTTATGCTTGCGATACAAAGAAATCGTGGAACACGTCATTGCAGAATCCGGGCTCTTTGGAGACCCTACACATCGTGCGCCAGATTCCTTGGTTGCTGTTGGCCAGACATCTTTTGCTGGTGTGCGGCCATTTCGCCAGTCTCACACTTGCCAGCACCAGATCGTGAGACTCAAACACCTCTTTAATATTTTTTAATATAGCTTTCTCAAGAAGTCCGAATTGATCTGAATCTTACGACTCGATGCAATGATGTCGTGATTCTTTGTTACCTGTATACACGTATGAAAAGTGTGACTCAGTCACCAGTATCGTGTTTCGAAGGTTTAAGGACAAGTTGCCTTTTCGCCGCGACATGATCGATCGGGTGGTGGCGAGGACCGCTCCAAAGAACTGCAAGCTCTGGGCTCGTCAATCGCGGTTGCTGTGCGTGTTACCAGTCATCCTATCACGTTAGGTTAATAATCAGCGTGCATGCTCGGCGCTGCTCCGGCTTGTATTTACCGATCGGGTGGCGGCGGCGGCCAGGTGATAGCTTGGGTGGCGGAGGGATATCGCTGCTGGTGCAGACAGTATCATCCAGATACGAGCAACATTGGAGCCCCAGCAGCAGATGACCACCTTCATGGACTCCTTGATGGAGCTCCTCGCTATATAAACGAGGATGTTGCATCGTTGAGCCTCCCATGATGGGAGTCCCATCGCGCCGCTCACCTGGCCGCCATCCCGCGCGCCGTACATTTATCAAATTGGATGGGAGGGAACGACCTTCCGCTGACATTGGTTGCCGACGGCAACTCGCAGCACTCATTGAGCGTCGTCCTCGAATGCTGCGACGCCGACGTGCTCGACGGGAAAAGTTCTTTCTATCGGCAGCGATCTCGGTGCGCGCACGGATCAGTCTTGAATTCAGTCGGTACAAGCCCACGCGCAAGCGCTGTTGCTACTCGCATTGACACTATTCTGCGTTTAGAGGTGCACCTCTTCCTATCAACTCCGTTATATATTGATATAGGCAATGTTATTCGCTTTCATGGCAAGGATTTCTTGCTGACTCACATGTAACCTGCTGAGGCAGTTCCCATTTTCGTCGACAAGCACGCGGTTGCCGTGTTCAATTTGGCCGTGTTTCCACATCTCATTGCTAGAGCTTCGCGACTTGTCCAATATCGGTATGAGCGATGGGTGTACCGGCAAAATTGGCGATGGCCAGCGGTGCGATGGCTGTAGATGTACCAACTCCTGTACATTTAATTCTTGTGAGGAAGGCTTGCCACGAAGCGTACACGAAAAAATGTAGACGAATGAGCTCTATGCAGAGTAGTACTTCCAGTCGGTTACAGCACTGCATAATTCCGGTGCGACTTGACCAGTTCACTGCTTCAGTTTCATCATCTTCAGCAGCAAGAGTGCCCGGGTTGGGAACGCTCGCTAGTTGTTATGCCAAGAATTGCCAGCCCCACCGCAAATTCGTGCCCCTTGTATTCTCACAGTGATGCTCACTACCAGTATCCGGTATTCCCGACAGGCACAGCATAATGCTATCAGCGTTAGATGGGAAATTCGGGATTTCCATTTCGCGGACTTCCAGGGCCTAGGCGACGCGGGCGTCGCGGGTCAAGTGCGAGCGCTACATGTACATGGCATCCATTCCATACTACACATTCAGAACCCCACGGCCGAGATGACCGTCCGTGAGTCAACAGCAGGGCAGCTATCAGGAATGTAAGAGAGAGGTGCAAGTTGGTGTCAGGCTGAACCATGTGGCGCCCCGTGAGCCACATGAGCGGGTATCTACGTTCGGCCCAGATCAAATCGAGCCGCTATCCCGGGAGAGACAAGGAAGCCAGTCAGGTCAGCCATATCCCGCCCTTGCCCTCGCTGCTGTCGCTGGAAATCCATAACGGAGACGCTGGCGACGTCTCATTCTCCGTGTTGGCTCCAGGAAGGACGGAAGCACACACATTGAATTGCTCGAACTTACTTGACTGCCTGCGTGGCTGTACGACTCTCCTTCATCCTCGATCTCTGCGCGAGATATCCCCCCTTCGACAACATGGGTGAAAGCTCGTCTTTCTCAACAGGATTGATCATCGGTCCCGTGCTTGCTGCAATAGTGCTATTCACTCTAGGGGGATGGTACCTGCGCCGATGCAGACGTCACAAACGGGTGAACGGACCCAGAAGCAGCCACAGCCAGAGCACCGAGTATGTGGACTGCGTACTGACCCCCGAGCTCATGGCGATTGTGGCCGATGGCAGTCGTCGATCTTCTAGTACAATGGGGATCGGCGGCAAGTGGTTCCATCATTTGCCACGTATTACCAGCGTGCCGTCCATGGAAGTCTTCGAACACCTCAGTACAGGAGGCCCGCTCACTGGTCGAGGCTCTAGCAGTGCTGCCACCACAACTGCCACTGGATCGTCACCCGTGGCCAATGGAACTCAACTTCGATGGCTGGATAAATGCGATTCTAGTGATATACTGGCCTGTAATGCTGCGGCACTGGAGCAGTGTCGTCTGCCTCCGAACTGCGTCGTTGACGGCGAATTGCTGCATGAGGGCAGCTTCACGCTGGCGTTCCGTGCAACACTAAGGATCGAGGGGCAAGCTAATCGCCAGGTGGTTGTGAGACGACTGCTTCCAGAACTCGCAGAGCAGCAGTCGTACCGTCAAGCGTTCATGGCGGATATTTCGCTCAGTGTTTCGCTCCTACATCCACGGATTGTAGCGTTCATTGGGTTTTACGACCCAACCCAGCGCGTATACGACCTCGATTCGCCGACATCTCCTTCGCACATTGTACAGCAGTCAGCGCAGCCCTCAGCAGTGACAGAGTACATGCCTAACGGGGACCTACGTGCTCTTCTTACACTGCGGCCTCGCAATGCACAAGACTTCGGGTGGTTCCATTCCGTGTCAGTGCCCAAGACCAAGGCCCATCTTGCGCTGGATATCGTGGATGCTCTCGTTTACTTGCACTCTCGACCGCCATCGCTCCACCCTCCACAGCTTAAGGCACAAAGAGTACTATTATCTGAGCTTTGTGACGCTAAACTCTGCGCTTTCGGTGTAAAACGCGCCCAAGCAACGTACACTCGAAGCGACTTTTCCGTTGCCTGGTTGGCACCTGAGCTACTGCGGGGTGAGCCTCGAAGTGAACAAGCGGATGTGTACTCCCTAGGTGTGCTGTTTACTGAACTGGACACGTGTGAGCTTCCGTTCGCATCGGGTGTCGATATGGACGATGGAATGGACGAACAAAGTCAACTGGCTTTGCTCGTTAGCTCAGGCTGTATTCGTCCTTCGCTGTCGATGGACTGTCCAGTTCAGATCCAGGAGCTTGTGATGCGGTGCTTGAGCTTCTCGCCGGATCAACGTCCTCCTGCAATCGAAGTGCAACACACACTACGGAAACTTATCAACGGCACCAGCGTTTGCGAATCATCACAAGTTTCGCTGCCGTCCAATGTGTCATCTCTTCGCAGTACACCAGGGAATGCCACACTCAACACACTCTTCACACCGTGTTGAACTTGTTACTGCCAAGACAAAGAAGCCTATCAACCTTTTATTCTGTGTAAATAGTAACCACCTCAGTACACTATTCGTCAACTGATCATCCTCTTAGCATTTAACGGGTTGAGCGGCGATATCCCAGAAAGGTATTGACTCCAATCGAGTGTCATCCAGGCGACAGACAATCGGTCTATCCCCAACAGCAGCGTAGCCATCTTTCTCCCGTAGTGGGAAGACTATTACACGATAATTCCACAAGTGGTGTCTTTGATTAAGTGGCGCTGTGTTCATTATGACGTCCCACGCGTCGAATGTCAGCAAGAATTGGCCACCAAACACCACGTAGCCCAGTCGAACCAATTCGTAGCTGTTTAGTGCAATTTTAGTCCGTTTACCTTTTTCGTCTCCGTAAATGTAGACCGGTGAACATCCCAAACCTCCGACGTTGCTGGCACGAATGGCAAGAGCCCGTTCGACACCTTTGAGCTCCGTGTCTGGCTGCTTGACAGGAGGAATGTATGGTGCAAACACCAGAGGCAGAAGGTTAAGTCCGACCAACACGAGCTTGATAGTCATCAGTAGAGTCAAGTTCGCGTTCATGCGAGGGCCGACGTCCGAGATGAAAAAGTCCACCAGTTGCAAGTCCTCCATCTCAGCTGAGTGCACTTTGGTCGCGACTCGACCGTCCACACTCGACAGAGCACTTGAAGATGCTAGTGGTACGCGAATCCGGTGCAGTAAGCAGAGTAATGCCAGTGTGGGCGTGAAGAACATGTCTGTGATTCTTCGACGAGTGATCTTGGCGAAGACATTGAGCAAACTGTAGTAAACGAGGCAAAACTCCACCAGCCCGGGATACATCGTAAACCAGGACTCAGACAGTGCGATCTGTTCGCCGTCAAAGTAGCACCCGGCAGTCCAAAAGGAAGCGATTGTAACTTTTAGGTGAGGTAGTAACACAATCGGTAGCATGTTGAAACTGCGGGATCCAGCCACACAGCCGAGACCACCAATGAACCACTCGCTTCTACCCAGTAAGAAGCCTCGGTGGAGTGCTGCCATCGCCACGACCCAACGCACTAGTAGCATTCCCAGTGACACGTTTGCAATCAATGTTTCCCAGTCATACATCACTCGCACAGTTCGCTCAAAGGTGCTTGTAAACAGAAAGAAACCAAAGTGTTGTGGCGAAGCGATCGTGATCGAGGTCATCGTCAACTCCTGTTCTTCTGTAGACATTTTGTCCCCCCACGACAGCGATTCAGACGAAGTTAAGCACTCCTTCCGGTTAATAACACAGTCCAGTTCTTGCTTAGTTAGTGTGTTGAATTCGCGTCTCGTCAGTCCATCAATTGACCCCGGATCGGAGCTGATGACATCTGAGAAGTACGGGGTCTCCGATTCGTCTCCATTCCCCACATGTAGCCATCCATGTCGCCATTTCCCATGAGGTGCTTCGAGCCACCTCTGGGTTAAAGACTCTCTCACTGATCTATTCACCGCCAACATCGCTGGGAATCCATCCGTTAAAGTCGAGTCGACGTATTTACCAGTTAGACGAAACATACAGGCCGATCCATCCGTTCCAGGCACAGCATAACGTGCAATGGATGCGTTATCCCAGAACGGCATCACTAGCACCGGTAGAGCGTTCTTAATCAAGTAAACGGTATCACTGGTACCACCATAAGTTTTCTCACCGTTCACTACAATTCGTAATCCATCTCTTGTGACGCTGTAGCCCAGATCGTTATCACAAGTATCCAAGATCATATCCAGAGTCGTGGAAACCAAAGCACAAGTGTCCATATACGTGGCATAAGCGTCGTCACTGAGTGTTGCACCGTGACGACGTACGACTCGATATCCATCAACCTGGGGTGGTGTAGTCTCTGGAACTACCGACGCACCAGAAGTTCCAAGCACGTCGTTAAGTAGAACAGGCTTGTAATACGGTCCCTCGAGTACACAAGCCAACACACGGTCGGTGACGACTTTATCATTATCACCAGCGATTTCGCTCATTCCTCCCGCTACCGGGTAACTTCCGTAGAGTGCTCCACCTTCAGAAGTAACAGTGTTCCAGAAGAGCCCCAAAAACTGGGAGAATATCAGTACAGAGATGAAGATACACGTTACCCAGTGATATAACGCAATTGCAATTTGTCTTGATGTCGGGCGTGGAGAGGGGACTTGCTTCTTTCTTGACGGTAACGTTTTAGCTTGTGGAATGTTGGATCCAGCGTTTTCGTCTCCAACAACAGCAGGAGGTCGACTACCCTCCAATTTAGGCGATAGACCCTGTTGGGTACATGTATTCACGCGGTGCAAGCCGGAATGGTCATCGCTGCTGCTCGTGCTCGACATTTCGGCTACCCTGAGAGTGGTTGTGCGTTTGGGTCACTTTTGGAATCTGGATTGTATCAAAATAACGTCGACGCTTACTAACCGATAGGGGTGTCTGGATGTGAATATCCACAGATTCGTCGAATGGTTGACACTTTTTGAGCTGACGCTTTAGCCTTGTCAATCATCCCAGCTTGCTTTGCAGCTAGGCATATCTGTAGATGTAGTGTTTCGGTGGTGTGGTAGTGATCGGGTAGACCACATCTCGTCCAGATCTCCAGTAACATGTCCGCAGCTTTGATGACGTTCGTCCAGTCGCATTGAACTCGAGCCATCTGCATTTCCGCAGTGTAGAGTGCAAATTGCGCTTCACTGCTGCGTTTGAATACATTTTCGTGCTCTTTCTTCAAGTGAGCAATTCGCTTTTTCACGTCGCTTTGGTTTGAGTTCACGATCTGCATCAATTGCTCCATAACTCGAGCCTCTTCCTGTTCCTCCTCTGCATGATCTTGTTCTTTAGCTTCAGTTGTGCAGCGATCGCAAATGCAGTCGAAGTCGAATCCCTTTAACAGTAGCGACTGTCGTCTCCTTCTCGTCTGCAACAAGTCAATGTAGGAATACTCCACTGTACTCCCTTTTGGTATCTCTGTGATAGCATGGAAAGCGAGCGTTCGGGTGCGTGGATCAAAACTGGGTAACACGTTAGGTAAGCACGAGTGATTCAACGCCATAGCTGCTTCGGGGAACACGCCAGTGCCAACACACGTGACGCCGTCCAAGTAAAGTGGATGCGCATTACAGCGCACACGCTCTAGCGTAGCCCGAACATGCTGCTGGTCCAGAACTCGCCCTATCATCTCGACAATAAACTTCACAGCAGCGCGAGACTCCTTCTCTTCACTGTTCTCTTCCTGGCGATGAACAACTAGCAGCTTCAATGCTTGTGAGTTTCGCACAAACTGCTCCATACTCAGCACTGCCAGTGCCAAGCGTACAGTCTCCACATCCCCTACATTAACATCTCTACGTTTTAACGCGCAAAGTGCTTGACACTGGAAGTCATGCAGCGCTGCGTCTGTATCCAGACAATCACGAGAACTCTCCGCACTGTAACGCGGTCCGTCGCAGCTTCGCAAAGCACCAGTGGCACCTTCGAGGCACCAAACTCTGCCGGACAATCACAGCGAAAGCTGCAGCTTGAAAAGCACGCTCTCCGGCGCGAATAGATTGCTTGGCGACTGTGAAGCGACCCATGGAGCCGCTGGTTGAGCTCCAGAGAGCCACGCGAGGGTTATCAACCTCGAATTTCGAGTCATGAGGGCCACGACCTAGTGCTGTATTGGCGTCAGGTGACGCAGGGCCGACAGCGCACACGTGGCGCTGTGGAATCCACTGCGAGTGCAGCTTATTAAGCTGTTGAGAGGCGTTGGAAGCGGTGGATGGGGACGTGCACTTCCAAACAACGTAGCACAGGTCAGCGTCAGAGTTGACGCGCAGAACTGGAGCATGTAGTAGATGAGAGGATGGACGTGAAGAAGGGCTATTAGTGGAGCTTGGATAGCGATGTCGGCTGCAGCACGCGGGCAGCGAGACGCCTGTCACGAGCAAGTCATTGTCGGGGATGGTGGACATGATGCGAACTTAGTGATAAAGCTGCGAACCTAATGAAGGGTAAAAATGGTGTACAAAACATCACATTTTTTGGCTGAAGATCGATTCTACTGTTAGTCGAATGAGTCGGGCACTCTTGTTGCATTAACCCAAGAAGCCTTCGCGGCAATCTTCGCCTCCAGTAGGACGATCTCTAGTGTACATCCATGTAGTGTCTGCTGCGAGGGAAGCAGCATTTTGTGTGCGTCCGAATTGCGAAGCACTTCATGGGCTAAGCACTTCATGGAGAAATGTACAGTGAGTCTAGTGAATTGAGTGACGCGGTCAGTTACAACTGTCGAGCCGTTCCGTAAATGGTTGGAGTCGATCGTGATCGTCTTGCGTTTCACAGAGCTGACGCGATCTTTTAGAAGACGAATCGTTCCACCGGGGATGAGCATTGAATTCGACTGTACAGTACGTGGAGCTGTCTATAACTGCCTGGCACTGCAACCAATGCAGTGCAAACAAAACCCGAGGACTTTGCGCACGCCGCCGTACATGTATCCCCGCTAAAGCACCTCCCTCTTCTGTCTCCACTGTGATAGTTTTGCGTTGCTCATGCGCACTGTAGGCTCTGTCTCTTAAATATATGTATAAATCACTCATGCCACCATGACATCCACGGAAAGTCTCCGTCGAAGACGAGTCGCTCCTCCCATCTGCAGCGATGATCGGCAAAGCAATCCAACTTGGAGGAGCTGTGCCAGGCAGCCAACATCCTCGCTGGCAATGGCTTCTTCCACCAAGAAAATCTACATGTTTGTGAGCTTCTGTTCGCTTCTCCAGGATCTCATTGCTGCTCGTGCTGACGTTGCGATGTTGAACTCTATTGCATAGTTCGCTGTGTCCAGTTGGTCGCAGATCGCTGATGCGCATTGTCAGGTGTTCTGGCCCCAGACAGGCAGGAGTCAAGTTTTGCAGCGCCGCTCGTCATGTCCGCGTGGAAGACGATCCCTTTTTCAAGAAGTTCTTCCTTCCACCCCCGACAAACACGGCGTTGGGAGTCCCAGCTTGGACATTCCAACTTGCACGCGTAGATTCGAGCTTGGTAATCCGCGCCGTATGCATCAGCTTGCACAGCGTTTCAAGCATGCAAATTTCGCAGAGATTACAGAATCAGAGATCGGTTCTGGGCAACGAAGAGAGCTGAGTATCGCCAGAGACACAGAGGACCCTCACGATCCAATGCTCGAGACAAGAACACGGCGGTCGGTTTGCGAGCACTGCCACTGCAACTTACAACTTGCAGTGCAAGTGGCGTGCTGGACTCTCAGCGTGGCAGGCAAGGCAAGCCGCACGGTCAACGGAAGAGGACTGGAGGAGCACATTTGGTTCCATCCTTGCCCCATCCTCCTCCAGTTTAAAAGAGCCAGCTTTGCTGCACACTTGCAGTTTTATTGGTCAAAATTCAGATTACGTATCTGGTGGATATTGGTCTTGCCACAATTGATATTCATCAATCATAACAGATAAATCAGAAATCAAACTTCAACAAAACAGCAAAAGTATCAGCATAACAAACTCTCTCTTGTCTCTAAATATCGCAGATCGCAGGTTTCTAGTTGATGATGTCAAATGCAGAAGAAGCACCGCACCCTATCCCCTTTCCCCCCTCTCCTGCAATTTGCCTCGCAGGAAAAAAGCTGCCAGACCAAGTCTCTCTCGGTCACACGCAGGTCGCTTCCCCCTCTTCGGGCTCAAAGCGTAAGTAAGTGTACCGACCGTAGTGGCGCCCGCCACTCCCAGCAGCTATCACGCCTCTCCATCCGGAGTCGCCAGGGGGCGCGCCCCCCGTACCGGACCGCAGCGAGCCGCTCGCGATCCCTCAGAGTGGCAAGAAGCCTCGCTCTGGAAGTATCAGCGGCTTCGGCAGCTTCGGTAACCTCCAGCTCGCAAGCAGCTCTAAGCGCAAGGGCAAGATGCACAGCCCTCACACATCCTCCGGCCGTCGCGGCAGCGTCGCCTTGTCCAGCAGCGCCAGCGCCGAAGACTCGTGTCTGTTTGTGGACAACCTGATCCGCGGCGTACAGCAGCGTTTACGCTCCGAGCTGGGCTTCCGCGAGGTGGTCGTGGCCACAGGCGAAGAGGCTGATACCGTTATGGACTCAGGTCGCTCGCGTACACTATTGGCCACCTCCATCTTGAACGACCACGAGTCTCCCAGTAAGAGCGAGGAGCCGCAGCCCTGGGAAGCCACAGCCGCCAGTAAACGCCAGCTGCTGTACGGCAAGGACGTGGACCGCAAGAACAGCGACGCGTCACTCTGCAGCGAATGCGCCAAGGGCACAGTATACGTGTCGGACGGCTACGAGAACAAGCAGCGACTACTAGTCATTGTGCCGTACCGAGAAGCCGGTATCTGGAGTCGCAGTATCTGCATGAACCAGTTCGACAGCGACAGCGACAGTGGCTCCATGATGTCGTACTTAAAGAAAGCATTGAGCGAGAACTACGGCGTGGTGATCATGAACCCAGCGGCTCAGAGCTGCCACCCTCGCGCACACGTCGAGAGCGCGTGGGACCAACTCATCGCCCCTCTGATCAGCGAGGTCTTCATCGTCGCATTCTCACGTGGTGCGCAGATGGTTCTGCATCTCCTCAACTACGACAACGGCCTGGGTGTGATGCAGGACCGCGTCAAAGCTCTAGCACTCGTCGAGCCGTCGCACTACGTCAGTGACAGCGACACGTACTTTGCTCGACGAATGCTGGCGCGTCGTGCTGTGTCCTGGATCCTAAACTCGGAGATCGACGTGGGCTGTAAGATCCCGCAAGGCCACACACGTCACGGCTGCGTCTGTGTGTCAGCAGGCACCGTACCGTCCAATGTACTGGGCAGTAGCGGCGCATACGCTCTGGAAATGGTCAAGAGCTCTGTGTTCGGCTCGTTTGCTGCTCGTTGCGGTGAGGCAGCGGGCATTACAGTGAACGCCAATAAGATCAACGCGTGTGGCATCTGCCATCGCAAGCTGTCGATGCTGAACCGAAGGATCCCGTGCTCCTGGTGTGAAGTCAAGTACTGTAGTCGCTGCTGCGAGGACAAGTTTGTACCTGCTTTTGGCAGTTGGCGCGTGTGTTCGCTGTGCCAGTCACTACCGTGTTTGATCGACCCTCGACGTAAGAATCGCAGCGCCACAAACCACACGAGTCCTACGGCTGCTGGTCAGGAGCGCTGCAGCGTGTTCATCCGTCCTACAGCGGATGATGACGACCCGGTGTGTCTGGGAGACTTTGAGATCGTCAAACTCGTCGGTCGTGGCGCTTGTGGTCGTGTGAAGCTGGTACGTAAGAAACACGGCTACGATGAAGGCGTGTTCTACGCTATGAAGGCTATCCGCAAGAAACTGGTGATCCAGCGTGGGCTGGTGGAAGCTACGAACGCGGAGCGACGCATCTTGGACCGGATTAAACACCCGTATGTGGCTACGCTGTGCTACGCGTTCCAGACGGAGGCCAAGCTGTATCTCTTGTCCAAGTATTATCCCGGTGGCAACCTGCTGGACCAGATGCGACTGGCACGGAGATTCACGGAGGATCGCACTAGACTGTACACTGCCGAGGTGGCGCTCGCTATCCGTCACTTGCACCAAAATGATATTATTTATCGCGACCTCAAGCTGGAGAACGTGCTGGTGGACTCGGACGGTCACGTGGCGCTCACGGACTTTGGTATGTCGAAGGAGAACATGCCCGATGAAGGTCGTACCACCACGTTCGTGGGCACGTACCAGATGATGGCTCCTGAAGTGTTTAGTGGCAAGTCGTACTCCCGTGCTGTGGACTGGTGGGCGTTGGGTGTCATGGTGTACGAGATGATCGATGGACGTACACCGTTCAACGCCAAGACCAACCGATTGATCAAGGAGCGGATTGTGAACGTGGACTTGAAGTTCTCGCCTCGGTTTACGGAAGATGCCAAGGACTTTGTGTCTAAACTGTTGACCAAGAACGAGGACAATCGATTGGGTTCAGGAGAGCATGGCTTCGAGCATATTAAACACCATCCGTGGTTCAAGGGACTCGACTGGGACAGTGTGGAGCGCAAGGAGGCGTTGTTTGAAGGCCAGTATGCGCTTATGGAGAAACACGCTAAGGAGTACCGTACTGAAGATATCTTTGAGACGTACATGAACACCGTGGAGGTCCCTATCGACACGCCAGCGTCGGTCAAGAGCTCGAATGATGAATTGTTCAACGACTTTGCGTTCAACTACATGGACGGACCTGATGAGGAGCAGCGTGATGTCCCTGAGCCGGACGAAGAAGGAGACACAGAGAGCCCATTGTCTCCTGTATCGCCTGATGGCAGCACGGAGCGATCATCCAAGCCGCGACCGCTTACAGTGAGGGAGGACAAGATGTTGGACACGTTCTTGTCTACCAATGGCTCGCACTTTGACTTGACGCTGCTGCGACCGAACCAAGCGACGGACTTTGGCGTCTCGGGTTGCTCGTCGTTGAGTTCGGAGGGCACAGATGACGAGGGCGCTGAGCCCGTGGAACAGCTGGACGATCTGGAGACAACGAAGAAGGACAAGAAGGACAAGAAGCCGTCCAGTCCCACGACACAGCCAGTGTCGCCCTCAAGCAATGACGGTACGGACGTAGACTCAGTGCTCACTAAGACTGGAAGCAACTCCACAGATGCCACCGAGGAAGCCTCCAAGGCCGAGTGAATTTGATGTGGGTAAGTGGACCAGACGCGGTCGAGGAGGCGGTGGAGCTGCCGCGTACAAGGCTAGTGGTATGTGTGGAGATAACTACAGAAACACTGGTATTTGATGAGTTTAGACATGTTTTCTTATTTACAGCCAATCGCAGTACTAGATTTTGATTTTTAACCAATCATGTTGTAATGTTGAAGTTGCAATAATGGAGTTCAAGGATCCAGGTATCGGAGACGACCGAGACGTCTCCTGTGCGCCACAGAGCGATATAAGAGACGCAACCAGCATGGATAGATGGACAGGATTCTTGCAATTGTACGAGTCGTTTATTACGCGGGAATTGGCTCAAAAATACCCGCAATTTGTCCGCGCATTGCGTCAATTGGAGAGAGACACGCGTCTTGAGCAGGAACGACAGAACGCGCAGGTTCTAGCAACGTTGAGGCTTAAAGATGCAAAGATCTCGGCGCTGCAAAAGGCCGTGATTGAGCAGCGCGAACAATTAGACGTCGTGCTGGACGAATTAGAGCGAAGAGAGACAAAAGTTGACAAGGAGGTGCAGATGGGGGAAGAGAGACAGTTGGAGGACGCTGCAGTGCAGACGAAGAGTGTTGCGAAGGAGTTAAATGAAATTAGTACTCAGACAGAGAAGAGTGAAGAAGAAACTGGAGTTTTAACGCTCTTAGAGAAGCTAGAGAAGGAACTGAAGACGTTGGAAGAGAAGAACTTGGCGCTGGAGAAGGAATTGCAACATAGAGTGAAGAAAAATGAGAATGAAGAGAATTTCGAGAACAGTGAGGAATTGGACAATTGTTTAGAGGTTCTACAACGCGGAATGGAAGCCATGAACTTGTCCTGTGGCTGTGTGGAGAGCCCGCTGATGTTTTTTGTTGGTTTGCCTGGTGAGGAAGAAACCGTGTCGACGTGTGTGAATCTAGAACATCGTCTGGAAGCACAAGCGGTTCGACTAGAGCATGTTCAAGAGTGTTTGTATTTATGGCGTGATGCAGCGGTGCAATTTATGAAGCGACAGGACTCTAGTGACAGTGGAAAAGAACTGACACTTCCGTCAAGTTCGTCGTCGGGAATTGCTCGACGGGATGATAATATTGCGCCTCAATGTTTGACCGCTCTTCGAGGTGCGTTAGCACAGATCCGACAGCACATTTTCCAACCTCATGGTAGTGACAACCAACACGCTGTTACAGAGTTGGCAAAAGTTCTTTCTAACGGGAAAAATGGCGTAAAAGATGCAGCGAAGATGGTTCGTAAGTGGGCAGGGTGGGAAGCCAATCACTTGGATGAAATACGCTCTATAAGGCAGAGCTTTGCAGAGGAACACGCAGTGAGTTTAAGCCGTCGAACTGCGTTGCTAAAGCGAATTGACCAGTTAGAGCGACGAGAACTGGACGCGCGTGCGGAGGTGAACGCATTGAGAAAGAAACTATGGCTTTGTGAGAGTAAAATCGAGCGATTTTCGTCATATTTACCATTGTGGAAACCTGATAATTCTTCTGACGGGGCAGATAAACGTGAAGTTTTGGAGTATCCGCAACTGATTGTGAGACTTGCCACCGCGGAGCAGAGTTTGCTGGTGAAAGATGAACAATTGGTGGCTGCTAACGAGACTATTAGAGCGCTTTCGACTGGTTTGGTCCCTACTAATACCTCAGGATCTCGAGACGACTCAATGAGTCGAATGATTACGGAGCTACAGCGCGTTTCAAGGCAGAAACTCGATTTTTTCCGAAGACGAGAGAAGGACCTTGTGACTGTGAGTCAGTATTTTCAAATGGAGAAGACGTGTCTTCAATTACAATCACGTCTCCAAGCGGAGAAGAAGCAGACGGCGATACTGAATGCAGCAAAAGAGGTCTGTGAACAGGAGCGTGACGAACTTCTAATGAAAGTGGAAAAGCTGGAGACGGAGATTTTACTGGCAAATGTAAATCGTAAGTCGACAATCTCTTTACTGTCAACAGACAAGCAAGTTGACACTACAGAACACAAGAACGACGATTCTAGTGCTCTGCTGTTTGCATTCAAACGTTTACGACTCATGGAAGAGGATCGCAAAGTGATGCGAGAACGTCTTCGACACTTTCAGCAGCAAGCTGCCTTGCTACAACCGCGACTGCAGGAGGTTAAAGCGGTCGAGAACCAGACAATCCAGACGAATGTTATGAATTGCGTCGCCGAGCACCATCAAAAATGTGTCGGTGATTTCAAGAAATTTCTCGATCGACAAAGTGAATTACCACTAGCTGAGCAACAAGAATCTGCGGGAGATAATGACGTTGTGAAGCAATCGCTGCTTGAGTGGGATATTTTTCTGGGTCACTACGAGGCTTTATGGATCGCATTCGACTGTCTTATGACTTTCGTTGGACACTTCCCGGCATTTGGTAAAGAATCTTCAACTTCTGACGACACCTCCTCAAGACTGCAAGCTTTAGAGTTCGAGATTCTGAAGCGTGATGAAATGATTTTGTTATTACAGCAGCAATTGATGGATCAAGGACAACAAACGAATTTCCTGAACTATGAGAATAATTATCACAGCAACATTCATAATGCTGTCGAGTTAGTGTACGAAAAACCAATGGATGCCTCACAGTACTCACCACACGACAAGGAAATGTCTGAAGATGACCAGTCATTTTTGGCATCGAAACCCCTGGAGTCACCTCTTGAACCGGACAGGATGACGAATAACGGGTCGGGTAACGAGGCAACACTACCAGGCTATACAGCACTGATGGAAGAGCGTAAGGTAAGCCAGGAACATTTGGCTATGAGCACAAATAGGATCTAATCTTTACTTGTTATTGATAATTTACAGAGAATGGCGACTGAGCTAGAAGAGTGTCTGGCCAAGTGTGCTAATCTAACTTCGCAAAATACCAAGCTAGCGGGACGATTGAAAGCGGAAAAGAAGATCAACAAACAGCATTTAAGGGATCAGAAAGAGATACGAACACAGCTCAGTGCGGAGTCGAAACATATTTTAGACGAGTATCGAGATCAAACTACTACGTCGTCAAACATCCACGTAAGTCCAGCAGAAGATACAGAGCAAGCCAAAGGGAACGATGAGAAGTGTGTCAAGAATGCCAGTCCTCGAAGTCAGCAGATTAAGGAATACGAAGCTCTAAGAGAGCAGCTGGCGCTAAGAGAACAAGAAAATCTGGCGCTAGTGCAGTCTCTTTGCACCATCAAGGAGAAATGTGCGGAAACGGAGGCAATTCACCAGAAAGAGCTTCGTCTCAAGGCTGCGGAACATGAAGAGAGCATGGAAAGCTACATGACAACAGTCAATGAGACGTTATCGCGTATCGAGATCGACAAAAAGCGTCTAGAAGAAGAAAATACCGAACTACGCTCCAGTCCGCAGCAGCTTGATGAGCATACAGCACGGAACAAACCGGAACAATCTCAGCGAAACACCATAGGCACGAACACTGAATCCGTGTTTGATTTGGCTGCAAATAGTCAAGAAAAAGAAACTCTGACGGCACGTATTGACGATTTGGAGCTGCAGTTATCTCGCGAACGGAAACTTGTTGAAGTGCTGGAGCAGAAAAAACATCTTCAGACTGAGCGTGATGAACAACTGGAGAGTAACACACAAAGTGAAGCTTTGAAAGCGCAACAAGAGTATAAAACACGCTGCGAGAATTTACAGAAGTGGCGAGAGAAGCTTCAACAAGAGTTTGCAGACTATCAAAAGACACAAAGTGCATCACAACATGAAAGTGACAGACGCATCGAGTTCCTCTCAACTTGTATCGAGGAGTTCATTCGTGTCGCGGATGAGAACGCATCAAATAGAGTTTTGACTAAAGAACTGTACGATGCTATGATGGAGCTTAGTAAGCAACAGAAAAAGCGAAACAAAGACCAAAAATCGACTGCTTCTTGTCGAGAAGACATGGTATTTGACGCCAATAAGGACCAAAATGAACCCGAGATGAGCGAGGCAATGTGGTGGAAGTTACGGGCGTCCAAGATGGAGGCTCACGTACGCTCTGCGATGTTGCGGAACGATACATTTGAAGATACTATTCGTCAGCTTGAAGTGGGTATGAGTAATGTGAAGCAAGAGTTGGCATCAAGACTGTCACTTGAGGCCCAATTGGTGTCGCAGTTGGCTGCTCTGAAGTCTGAGTTAGCAACTACGAAAGATCAAGCTGCGTCGCTAGCAGAAAAGTATCAACTCGCTAGTACTGAGCTTGAAAAACGACAAGGAGAGGCTTCGACTCGTGGTGACGAAACACAACGTGCTCGTATGGCAATGCAACGCAAAACGGAGCTTTTATCGCAACAAAAAGCTAAGGTATCATCGCTTCAACAAGAGTTAGAGCAAGCGTCCAAGAAGCTTGAGCGACTGGCAACTGCAGAGAAACAAGCAGCATTGCTGCAACAAAAAGCAAAGGAACACACGCAGCAGCTCTTACATGCTCGTCAATGTTACGAACGATGTCGTGAAGACAACGTTCAACTGTCAATCCACTTGGAAAAAATGAAGGAGCGTCACGCGAGTATTGTGGCTCGGTTAAAAGCTGCCCGAGCTGAGAACGCTAATTTACGGACTGAGCTCAAGAACAGTGCAAAGGGTGATGCTAAGGAGACCGCGAGTAGCAACAACCAACGGAGAAATCAAGCAGAATTGAACGCTGTTTCTGTTGCCTCCTTGACTGAAGAGGCTCGAGCGCTTAAACGACGAGTGTTACAGAAGCAAGACGTGATCGTAAGCTACAAAGCGAAGCTGACAGAGTATGAAGCTCAGTTGGAACGGCAGCGAGAGACTATGCTGAAGCTAGCACGTACGAATCGCGAGTTGCAACAAGGACAGCGTCAACGCCAACAACAAGAACAGGAGTACATGTCGTCGGTTCATGCTAAGCTAGAGGCACAACTTGGAGCGAAGCAAGAGCAGTTGGATGGCTTACGTGCTTCCGTTTACGATTCTTTCGAGGCCTTCGTATATTGTCAGCCCCCGTCGTTGATAAGGACAGCTTCGTCCTCATCCGGTTTACTTGATAGCCCCCTAACGGAGGAAAGCGATGACAACCTGTTTGCAGTTCGGAAATGGACGGACTTTTCAGTCAAAGACCTCGAGGAGCTGAGGCTAACGCGAGATCCTTTGCGACTGCGACAAGACAAAGAGCATGAACGCAACCAAATGAAGCGGAAGATAGCTCGGACATCACTTCAAGAGATGGAACGGGCTTTGGAGGGGAATCCTGAGGACTGCCGTGCTGAAATATGCGATCTTCTCCAGTGTCTCTGCACTTGATGTCGTAGTGGTGACTGTGAAGATAGTCACCACTACGAGATTGCTTCTTGTACTCGTATAGAGCGGCGGCGTCGTCCGAGACCGTACAGCTATTGAACAACAGCCATAAGGAGAGCAGAGTGTTTGGGGAAGCAACAAATCAACAGTCCGACGCGGTGTTCTTTACAAAATTTAGGACACTCGTTGCTGTCCGTTTATATTACTTGGTATAAAAAACACGGACAGCGTGGAACCAATATTATTATTGGTAAGTTCCACGTGGAATATCCACGTTGCTTATAATTCTTCGTGTTTCGAGTTCGCCAACTTCTACATGAGCGCCAGAATC